CCTAGGCAGCCTCATCTCCTCGGATGGTAAGATTGACGGAGAGATAGACAACAGGTTAGCAAAGGCATACGGTGCCTTCAGAAAGCTTCATAAAAGAGTTTGGTGAAATAAACACTTGAAGAAAAGGACAAAGATCAGTGTTTACAGAGCCATAATGCTGTCTACTCTCTTATATGGATCTGAATCATGGGTCATCTACCACCACCACCTGCGTCTCCTAGAACGCTTCCATGAACGCTGCCTCTGTACAATCCTAAACATCCACTGGTCAGATTATGTGACCAATACATCTGTTCTAGAACAAGCAGCAGTCACAAGTATTGAGGCCATGTTGCTGAGAACAGCTACATTGGGCAGGGCACGTCTCAAGGATGAAGGACCACCGCCTCCCTAAGATCTTGCTTTATGGTGAACTTGCCACCGGCTGCCGCAAGAGAGGAGCCCCAAAGAGAAGATACAAGGACTCCCTGAAACAACATCTCAGCCTTGGCCATATTGATCAACATAATTGGTCTACTCTGGCCTCCAGTCGGGAGATCTGGAGACACACCATCTATAACGCTGCTGATGCCTTTGAGAACACACACAGGATCGCTCTTGAGGAGAAAAGACAGTGCAGAAAGAATTGTGCCCTGAAGAATATACTTTCTGCTGTGCCTTTTGCAACTGGACGTGCCTGTCTCGTATTGGCCTTTTTAGCCACCAGCGTGCTTGTGACAAACGTGGGTAGAGCCCTTTCCAGATCTTCCCCTCCCAAATTTGTGAAGCCCAGCCATGATATTTGTAAGATAAAGAATATAAATACAAATTGATTTTTTTGTTTTAAGTAAAGATCGTGTAATGATCTCTTTCCCCAAAGCACCTTTAGCTTTACTTCAAAAGTTAATGTGGTGGGATTGGGCAGAGCTGGAGTTTTTACAGTGGAATTTCTGCCCATGAAAGCCTGTACCAAGGCTGAGGGCTGCAGTGGTTCTCTCTGAGGTTTAGTGCAATGGAATAGGGCAAATCCTATAAGTGGCAATGCCGTAGTACCCCCTTCGTTGCCAATGCACACACAAGCACATTATTTTTCTTGCAGATGACTGACAATGCCTACAGTTCTAAGTAACTGCTTCTGGTTTGTACAATGGTAAAAATCATCTTCAAAACAGACCACACATCAGACCTAGCACGTAAAATTATTAATCCAATAATCCATTTGTTGCAACAAAAGCAAAACCATAAATGTTATTAGCGTGGCATATTAGCCTAATCATATTTCACAATGCACTAATTGAAGCTCTTCTGAAGCAGATTTTCACTTCCTCTGCTTTAAGGAAAACAGACCTTACAATTTTCTTCCCTAATTGCAATTACGGCCTTTACTACTCAATCCTTAATCAAGACTCTGGGTAAATCTCTGCTGAAGTCAGTGACAGCTGTTTTTTAGAAAAACCCAAACAAACCATAACAACCTTGACTAAGGATTGCAGATTTGTCCTTTAGTACAAACTATCTTCAGCAGCTAGATTGTGTTCACAGGGAGCAACATCTTGCAATTCTTTTTTCTTTTAAACAACAGTTAAACAGTGTCACAGTTCAGCTTCAGTGTATCACTTTTAGCTACTTCTAGGATATACTTGTGATCTTGCAGTTGTAAAAAGACTTTGCTCACCCAGAAAGCACAAGGTGGTAACACGAACTTGCTAGGCCAGCTATGGCACAGAAATGAGTGATTTGTGTGCATGTATGTTTATGGACTGGCAAACGCAATGAGTCTTTATAAACACTTCCTGATGACTTGAATAGCATTTACAGCTTCTGAGACCTGTCTGAACCTTTCTCTAGGGGAAGATGGTGAGACTAACACAGTGCAAGAGAGGTTAGACCGTTCAGAAAGCCACTGTCCAGCTCAGCAAACAACAGCGAAACTGTCAGGAACCAACAGGAGCAGGCAGAGGATGTAACTGTTTTACACAGCTCTGCATGCTGCTTATTCTCAACATGTCACCAAAGACAGGGATGTGCTGTGATGATAAAAAGTAGTGTCCTGGAGAGACGTCTAACATACTAACATCCTAAGAAAAGGCAGCAACTGGCATTAGAGGGGTTTCATGTGTTTAGTGGCTGACTCCCGTGGGGGATGCTAACTTTCAGCAAGTCAAAGAACCGTACAGTCAGGTTTGGGTGGGAAGGGACCTTCAAAGATCATCTAACCCAGTGGGTCAACAAGAATGGGAGGTTAAGGCTACGTTAAGTACTCAGTTTTCCTTGGTGGGGAATGCTTCTCTTGTAATTTACTTCCATAAGTTTTCCTGAAATTCAATAATAATAATAATAATAATAATAATAATAATAATAATAATAATAATAATAATAATAATAATAATAATATTTTTTGATGTAATCATTCAGTAACAGCCAGCTCCCTCATAACTGTTTACGGGAGCTATAAACAGAAATTATTGTTTACCAATAACATCCTTCTCCAATTGCACATTAGGAATAAGCAAAACAAACAAGCCAGTACATAAATGTAACCAAGGCTGTCTACTCAGATGGATCCAGTTCTCATCCCAGGCTCTGGGGACTCCAGCAAGGAACATTTTCTCATCTTAACCTCTAACCAGGACAGGAAATTCTCTTGCCCTCTAATTTGTTTCCAAGTCTTCAGTGTTGAAAAACCGACTGTTTTAAACTCTGTGGAAAAGCTTTAGATCAGAATCACACCACTGCTTTCCCTTCAGCTCCATGTTCCCCTTGGACAAGGGCAGCGTACTTACGGGATCCTCGGAGGAATCTCTTCTTCTGTCTTGAAACGACCAGTCCAGAGGAGGATTTTTTTGTCAAACTTGGAGGGTTTGTAACTTGCAACCACCTTGTGAGCCTGCTCAGCTTAAAGATTAGGAAAAAAACACTTTGTCAAACCGTGCACTAAGAGTGAATGATGTCTGGTAGTAACGGTGGAAGGGGAAAAGCCTGACCGTCCTGGTCATTGGAAGAGCAATCCCAGGTATTAGACCTTCAGGTCTCGCCTACGCAGAGTGACCTCCGCGGGGTTTCTGGATCACCCACACATGCAATGAGTGTTCCCGTGGGTCTGGTTCGAACCCCCGCCGCCCGCAGGCGTGGGTACCCAAGCCAGCAGGAGAACACTCGGAAGCACCCGAGCCGCCGTGCCACTCGCGGGCCGCACCACCGGGAAGCTCTGCCCCGCTCAGCCCCGGCTCCGAGCCGCCCGCACACCTCCCCGTCAGCCCCGGGGCGCTGCTGCGGAGCTGGTCCCCCGCAGCTCCTCTCCCCCCTTACCGCGGGAGGTGCCCGGGCTCCGGGCGGGCTCCCCGCCGGCGGCGGCTCCCCGCGGCGCGGGCGGGCGGAGCGGCGCGGCGGACAGCAGCCGCCCGGGGCGGAGAAGGGCCGGCAGCATGGCCAGGGCGGCGAGGATTAGCGGCACCCTCTGCCGCGGCGGGCCCCTCTGCCTCGACGGGAGTGGCCCCGGTCCCGATCCCGGTCCCGGTCCCGATCCCGGTCTCGGCCCCGCCCGGCCCCGCCCCGCGGACCCTTCCAGCCGCGCCCGGACTCGAGGCAAGGCGGGACTGCTGCCGTCACGGCGGGGATCGGTCCTCCGGAGAAGGCATCCTGCTCACCTACCGCACTCACGGACTGCAACTCCAGTGGGGAAAGGTCAGCTTTCAGGTCAAAATTCGGCTAAAGAAACAGCCGCAGTAGTTCACCTTCGTGTTAGGACGTGGGCCTGCTGGAGTGAGTCCAGAGAAGGGCCACAAAGATGACCAGAGGGCTGGAGTACCTCTCCCACGAAGACAGGTAGAGAGACCTGGGGTTGTTCAGCCTGGAGAAGTTCTAAGGAAACCTTAGAGCAGCCTTCCAGTAACTAAAGGGGGCCTACAAGAGAGCTGGAGAGAGGCTTTGTACAAGGGCCTATACCCCTATTGCAAGGAGTAATGGCTTTAAGTTGAAAAAAGTAGGTTTAGATTAGGAAGAAATTCTTTCCTGTGAGGTTGGTGAGACTCTGGTGCAGGTTGCCCAGAGAAGTTGTGGATGACCCATCCTTGGCAGGTGGGATGGGACACTGAGCAACCTGGTCTAGTGGAAGGTGTCTATGCCCATGACATGGGAGGGTTGGAACTCTATGATCTTTAAGGTCCCTTCCAATGCAAACCATTCTATGAGTCTATGTTTCAGAGCAAAGTGGATTCAAGTTCTGTAACACAGCTGCCCACATCCATGTTTCTGTCATTTTACTGCTTTCAGAAGGTTCGAACATACCGATTCTTATCATATACTTTTCCATTTACTTCAATTGAAAACCTTTTTTCTGTTTTCCTTTCATGTCCTAGTCAGATTAAGCCCTTATTAAAAAAAACCTAAGGCAAAACAAAACAAAAAACCACAAAAAATAAATTTCAGTATGAACATATCCTTGAACAAAAAGATTGTCAGCACAGAACACATATTTAGTAAGAAACAGCCCATACCATCATGATATCAGTGACAGTGTATAAGACAGTGTCTCAACAGAATTGTGTCTGAGGCATCAAACAGTGTAAGATTTTATGTGCATCAACCAAAGCAAGAGTGACTGATGACGAACAGAGGAAGTCTTGCTCCCTGGGGAGAATCACTGCCCAGCAACAGCTACAGTCCCGTCTCAGCATGATAGCACGAATGAGGAGTATTGAACTATTTGCAGCCAAAACCTCCAGCTATCTTTTTCTAAGCAGCAGAGCCAGAGGTAAGCATCTTTTTCTGAAAGCAAATTGTTGGGTATAAGAAATCAGAAATTGGTTTTACCAAAGTGAGTTCTAGCATCCTTTATATTAGAACTTTCTTTAAACTGCCATTTGAACAACATTTTACTCTGGAAAGATATTCAAAAAAGTACTTTCTTTTCAGTAAGTAGTCCCATGCTGATGTTTTCTTATCTATACATGTACAATTTTTATTCCAAAATCATTAAAGTAACAACATATCCTTATTGTTGGTAAAATACCAAAGCCATTCCAATCCATTTAACTCATACCAACTTAAAAAAAAATAAATTCAGAAATCAATCTTCCCACATTCTATTTCAGAACAAAATTTCTGTTTGCTACTGAGACAGTCTCTAGATGGAAGAATCTAGCTCCCTGAATCAAAGCTCTATGCCAGCTTTCCCATGTCCTTCTAAAAATAACAAATAGGAAGAGATGCTCCTCTTTGCACACTCACATATACTCCCTGAGCAGCTCTGCCCTTTTTCAGAATGTTGTCAAGGAGATGAATACACATTGATAGAAATGACCTAGAGGGTGATACTTTGCCTTCTTCCTGCTCAAAGAGAATGACATAGGGTTAAGCATGCTCCTCGTCCCTGGAGACACATCTGGCAAGGGCAGGAAGAGTCAGCACATCTGGACTGGGCTACTCAGTGTCATACATTATGAGCAGCATCCCAAACACTGCTATCAGCTGCTACTGGTGATGTTAAACCACACATTTAGAGTCACTGTAGTTTCAATGGCCATGAGCAGAGCTGCTGGGAGGAAGCCTGGAACGCATGTAAGTAATTTTCTGCTCTCACCAAAGAACTGCTCTAAAGATTCTGGGCAGCTGAAAGGCATTTCCACATCCAGAGCTACTGAAATCTTGAGGGAATTATGCCCTGGAGAAGATGACTTGAATACTGAATGGCCTTCATAGTCTTCAGTCTCCCTGAAGGTATTGTATGTTGTGTGATAGTGGGTTCAGAATGCATTATTTAGCATCATTAACAATGAATGAGACCCAAAAAGCTTAAATAGTGTTTACATCCAGGCTGCCTCCTGTTGACTTCAACTAACAATATTTTCACATTTGATTTCTCTATGAACAGCAGTGCATTTGGGGACATTTGTTCTCTCTATTGCTCTCAGAGACAGAAAATGTGCTCATGGGATGTTAGTGTTTTGAGAATTAGTTTTAGGATCTTTCCAAAGTAAACAAGGAGAGTGTGCTGTGAGCCAAAAAAAAATGAGCTGACCCCTTTGGCCCCACATGACCTGACCTATGGGCTGTGGCTCTGGGAGCATCATGCTGAGGCTTTGCTATGATTCTGGAAGGTGATTCTGTTCTGTGTTCTGGGGATGAAAATCTGTTTCAGGCTCTTTTTATGTCCCCATGACTGGTAACAGGAATAGTTACATTGGTGGAATACTTACTGCTCTGGGCAGGTGAAAGTGCGCAAATGCTTCTTTAGCATAATGAACTCCTGTTTTAAGCCTTTTCATATCCTCTATAGCACAATCCCTTTAAGTTCTACCTACATATGATCAATTGTTTCTTACAGACAAAACATTTAAAAACATGTAACACAGCTTGCTATAGTGTCTCTTTTTTCTGCCAAGCCAGGCTAGCAAATCTGTTACATGGTCTTAGCTCCGCTGTTGACTGTGCTTTGCACAAGACCGGAGTAGCTGAAGAATTAGATGCAGCAGGTAGGGCTCCTTTGAAATTCCGCCATATATGGTGTCTTTCCTTAAAGATACCTCAGTAGAGACCCTCACATTGCTGTCACCAGGTCCTGTTCCTCTAGACACTTTCCTCATTGTCCTGTAGGAGGAATGCCCTACCATACACAACTTTCAACCTAAAGGAAATTTCTAAGAAGCAGACTGAGGTCTACAGTGGAAACACCTTACAGGTGTGTGTATTGCTGTTGTTCAAGGCCAAAAAGAAGATCATGTGGAGAGGTGAGGAAATTAAGTAAGCAAACTCAATTTGAAATAACAATATGGCTTTAATCATTCCCTTTTATTTAGATCCAAGACATGCTATACTCAAAGCTTTTGGAAACAATAAATACAGGCATGACATTTGAGCCAAATTAACTTTTCTAACCAGCTGATTGCTGACAGTCATACAATGTAAGCTTTGTTTCTCTCTTTTAGGGACAGACTTCTTGCTGCATTGGCAGTCAAATTGCAGTAATTGTAACCTTATTATACATAACTTCATATCCAGAAAAGTATTTGCAACAACTGATGTATGAACAGCATTCATCATATAAATATATATGCATAAAATTTCATTCCTCCAATCAGCAACAGAATGTTTGCAATTACACAAGTCTGTAGGTAAATTGCACTCTTGTCATTCAAATTACTTTAAAATGTCTTCGTAGATACACAGTACATACCTAGTCTACGCATCATCATTTCATCACCCATGTCCATTTTTGAAATGTGATTTATTTTTTATTTTTAACAAAATATGAATAGAAAAATATGGATAAGGGTTACAACATATAAATAAAAATTTTATAAAAATAGATATAAATTACATAACCATAGTACAACATGCCTTCGTAACACAAAATCTACTGCTTTTATTTTGCTCTTCTACAACATCCAGTTATTCTAAATCAAAACAGAAGCATGGACAAAACTCAAGGAATTCAGTATTATTTCACAGTAACATCTCACAGAAGTTAAAATATGTTTCAGGCTTCCAGAGTATGGAAAAGTATTTTTCCTGGTCCCAGACTGACAGTGTAGCTCTGCTGTTCAGAATCTGAAAAAGCTCTGTGGTACCATTACCCTGACAGAAGAGTTCCTCCTTCTCTGAATTTACCTTTTGTCTCTCATGCAGAAGGCACAGCACAGCTGTGCTCATGTTGCTACAGAGCAGAGACTCATCCAATGCAGATCGTGCCAGTTCAATCTTGTGCTATTTCTATGTACTGTAATGGTGCATTGGCGTGTTCTTATTGAAAATCAGATTTTTTTAACTTGTATACAACCCCCCAAAATTCCCAGGATGTACTCATGCTGATACTGGTAATTACACTATTTATCCTAATGAGTGGTTTTAAGTTTTGACATTACACATTGTCCTTACACTCTCAACTAAGAGGACATCTGGGGACAAACACAGTAGGCTCCCTCTTCATGCATCAGAGAAGGTGCACGAGATGAATCAGCGTATTTCCTCTGAGTATGGAGAAAAAACGTAGATGAACATATGTATAACTACAGAGCTCCCAAGAAATTCTTTAATTCTTTTATAGACCTGTCTCTAGTTCATTACCATCCTGATAAATACAAGGAACTTTAAAGGTTACTGCAGCACTCATCTGGAATAAGGTCTGCAATTCTGGGGAGGAAAAAAAAAAGAGATTCACTGATACCAGCTGAAAAAGGTTATATTTGGAAGTTCAGAAGAATGGAAAGCCTATCTTAAAAGTGGAGACTAAAGGACTCGTCTTGTTTAGCCTAGCAAACAAAGGCTGGGACAAGGTTCTCTTTGATCTGTGAAATGGGGCCAGATGAGAAGAATAGCTCCTTAAAGAATTGTGTATCAGAGGCAAAAGAAGTGGAGTAAACTCATGTGGTCCCACCTATGTGACTGTAAGAAATGATATTTTTGTGATTCTTCTGTCTCACTTGAGGA